ACTCCACAGCTGTAATACGAAATGTGTAGGAGCAGCCCCTAATGGCATTCAAATCATGTACTAACAGTTCTCAAGTGTCAGGTGTTATGCATTTCCAGCTCGGGGAAGAGATATTCACGTGCTGATTTCCTACACTGAACAGCTTTGTAACCCCTACAGAGTGAAGGCTCGCTGTGTTTCTGAGTCTCTATTATGTCAGATGAATGCCACAGTCAGAGGCCGGAAAGGACATGTGATCCTAGTTTAGATTCTTTTTTTTTTTTTTTCCCCAGCCATCTCTAAGTATTTCAGTGGCGTGGGTTTTGTGTGTATGCACAGAACTGAAAATTCAGAGAGCAGTCTCAATGTTAAACTTCACATAAAAGACGAAGGACACATATTTTTCTATCTGGCTATAATTTAATACTTCTGTACACACTTTGATCTTATTGAAGGCTTGTGCTTTCAAAATGGCCTCTCGCGGTGCCCCAGATGGCTGCCTGTCAAACCCAAGCACCAAGCTAACTATAAATAGTGTGGGTTCTCACTGGAACAATGAGCGCCACATTATACACGCTGGGGGAATTAAGATACACTTTATTTATTTAAATTTTTTCTTCCTTTAACTGTCATTTGGTCGGAGAGCATACCACACTTTAGGAACACCACATGGCACACTTCTTATATATGTTGTGTCAGTAATTTCAATTTGGCATTAAAGAATGGGCTTGGAACTCCATTTGGGGTTGGGCATTCTATAGTATCTAAGCATTTGGGGTTTGGCAAAATCTAAAACATTTTTTTTGCCAAGCACTTTGTTCCCTTTACGTTTGTAGTTGTATACTTCAAGGCCATCCAGTCCATTTGTTCCAAATTCATTTCTATTAGCTTCATTAGGAGAGTGCTTTGTAAACAAAAATCTTGACATGAAAGAAGACCTTAAGTGGTCTCTGTTAAGCCATTTATCTTAATTTCAAGAGGTGACAGAGACTTCAGGTTTAAAAAAAAAAAGAATTTCCTTCTGTATTAAATTTCAAACATCTCCTTTAAGGGGACGTGAACAAAATCATTTGCTGTCTGAACACAACATATAGATGCCGATGTCCTAGTCTGTATTCAGTTAAACACACATAAAGCAATCAGGCACTTCACAGGATTTGAGACACTGATGCATCAAGTGCATCTAAAGGTAGCATCTACAACAAGAGTTAAAAGCTATTTATTCGGATGGTGCTAAGCTCACGCCCCCCAGGGCAGACAAAGAGCCTGGCTGCTGCTGATTTTCTGTACCCAGCATCTCTGTCTCTCAGTCTTTGTTTTCCAGGTCCCCAGGAGCCGCTGGCAGATCCACATAAACAGTTCCTAATCGCTGTGCAAGTGACGGCTCCGGGGTGCCCGCCTCCTCCTCACAGCCTGAGCCACGAGGCAGGAGAAAGGTGACCCAGAGGAAAGCATACCAGGCAGTCTTGGTCGGCTGTCTTCACATAACTAAAATCCATGTTCTATGCAGAGAGAGTGAATTCATGAAGGACTGGCGCACAGTGTGCCTGGCATTTATTTCAACAGTGACATGGGAACCACAGTGACACAGCGAGGGGCTCTCCTCAGGGTCCCATCCCCACGCCAGTGCACAAACCACCCGTCTCCGGAATGCAGAGGATTCAGGGTGTGGGGAGACCTTCCCAGCTCTGCCCCCTCCCAGCTCTGAAACTGTGGGCTCCTTAACTACCCGCCAGGCACTGTTTCCTCACACACCTAGGGGTCACTGAGATGCACAGCTACAGTTCCCAGCTGGTTACAAAGCATTGACATGGTAGCTGCAATGGTTCCAACCAAATGGTTGGCACAGTAAATGGATATTATTATTATTATTATTAGGAATTAGGCAAGTTTTCCCCTTAGGCAGTTATGCTGAAAGCCACCACATAATAGATCAAAGGGCAGACACCGTTACCTGGACAATAAACTTGACAGTGACTTTATTTAGGGCAGAGACATGTGCATCAAATCTAGGAGATTTCACTCCGCAGAGAGTCTTCCTGAGGAGCCCTGGCTAGGAGTGGAGAAAGTGAGAGCTGGCAGACCTGCTGGGTCTGCGGGTCACCCCCGGCCCCAGCCAAGGTGTGAGTGCGTCGTGTGCACTGCTCGCACCTTGCCATGTATCCACACGTGACATCTAAAAGCAGCTGCAATCATTTCCGTGGCTGCCACAGCCTCCACCCAAGTTCCCCAAGTCCATCCCACGGAGAACTGCTGATCCCACACGCTTTTCTGGGACCTTCGAGTAAGCACAGCGGAGGGCATGTGAGGGATAGATGAACTGGCGTCCATGAAAACACAGGAGGGAGTCAGAGGAAGTCCAAGTGCTGGGGGCTGCAAGTCCTTGGTTTCACACTCTACTTAGCCAGAATACAATTTATGATACTATTCTACTCACCTTATATATTAATAGTACATATATATGAAGTTTGTATTGAATTTTATACGTGTTTTGGGTTAAGACAGTAGTCCAGAAATCATCAAGCTGGTTCCCTTCACATGCTGCATTGTGCAGATTCATTCTCTACCCTGATAAGTAGCATCGGCACAGTACCCCTGAGAGAGCGGCAGAGCGGTTCAGGGTGGGCGGGGGACACTAACAAGGGAGCAGCTCCGCCCTCAGGGAGCATCCTACCCAGCCTCCCTTCAATCACACACACCCAGGCCTTGCACATCCCTGTGGCAAAGGCTCTCCCCAACCGCTGTTTCCTTCCCATCCCATAATGATTCCCGTCCAGAATTCAGCACCCTGAATCAGAGCCATGGCAACAGCCTCCCGACTGCTTCAGCTGCTGCTTCTCCCACTCAGTTCCCAAATGTGCTCATCATCTCTGGGTAGTTAGCTCTGACCTCCCTTCCAGCCTAAAACCACACGCGACCTCCCCGCGAAAGGCTTCTTTCTTCTTGTAGATTCGTCATCTCGCTGTTGGGTCGCCACGAAAAACCACCTGTGCCTCTCTTCTGGAAATCTAAGGGAGCTGAGCAGAAGGCCTCCCGGGGTAACGTCTGAGGTTTCCCTTTGTGTCACTGAGATGGGCACGTGGCATTGTTTTCAATGGCCTCAGTTAGAATTGCATCTTCTCACTTCCACGGTCATGAATTCTACTTTACATGGAAGTCGACAGTGGCTGCCACCCATTATAGAAACTGAAAATGTTAGAATCCCCATTTCCCAGGCTCCTTGGCAGTACCAGCAAGGGACTTAGGCTCCACAAGTCATGGTGCACATTGGGGACTGTGAGCTGGTTGGGGGTCACACGGGGTGACCTCTCCCTGGTGGTGGTGGGGGCAGCACCTGTTCGCGTGATGGGATTCTAGGTCTGAAGTGTGACGAGGAGTTAAGTGAGACATCAACTCCTATTTCATGGTAGTGCCTCACCCACCAAGTCATTTCTGTGCTGCCCAGGGCACTGTTCCCGCCGACCTGGCCACACCCTGGCTCCCCACTCCTGCCAAGGTTGTGATGAGCCCTTTAACATCCTCTATGGAAACTCTGTTTCAGTTGTAAAAAGTTGAATTCTTCTTGCTTGCAGTTAAGAGCACGGACTGGGGCTGGCACTGTGGCGCAGCGGGTTAACACCCTGGCCTGAAGTGCAGGCATCCCACATGGGCGCCGGTTCAAGACCCGGCTGCTCCACTTCCGATCCCTGCAGCACCAGCATCCCATATGGACACCAGTTCAAGTCCCTGCTGCCCCACTTCTGATCTGGCTCTCTGCTGTGGCCTGGGAAAGCAGTGGAGGATGGTCCAAGTCCTTGGGCCCCTGCACCCATGTGGGAGACCTGGAGGAAGCTCTTGGCTTCGGATTGGCACAGTTCCAGCCATTGCAGCCAACTGGGGAGTGAACCATCAGATGGAAGACCTTTCTCTCTGCCTCTCTTCTCTCTGTGTAACTCTAATTTTCAAATAAATAAATAAATCTTTAAAAAAAAAAGAGTGCTGACTGCTATATGGGTCTCATGACACATTACTTAGGATAACCATGTTAACTTCATAAGGCCACTATTTAAATCATCTTTATTTACCAAGTAGTCAAACTGCCCAGCCTGATGGAGCCACTTGGTACTTAGTGAATGACTGATTTATGTGGATTTGTTTCCCTTTTCGCGTGAAGAACAAGATATAAAGAGTGCTGATGGCAGGCTCTTTATCTTCTAGATGAATCTTTGATTACTTCAGGTAAACAGAATTACCTCCAAAGAAGTCTTTATTCTGTTCCTTAAAGTTATGTTTTACAATGTGTGGTGGATTCCTTGGAGAAAAAAAAAATTTTTTTTGACAGGCAGAGTAGACAGGGAGAGAGAGAGAGACAGAGAGAAAGGTCTTCCTTTTCTGTTGGTTCACCCCACAATGGCCACTGCGGCTAGTGCACTGCGCTGTTCTGAAGCCAGGAGCCAGGTGCTTCTCCTGGTCTCCCATGCGGGTGCAGGGCCCAAGGACCTAGGCCATCCTCCACTGCACTCCCGGGCCACAGCAGAGAGCTGGACTGGAAGAGGGGCAACCGGGACAGAATCCGGCGCCCTGACTGGGACTAGAACCCGGGGTGCCGGTGCCGCAGGCGGAGGATTAGCCTAGTGAGCCACAGCGCAGGCCATGTAGAAAACTTTTGAGATGTGTGTGTCTGAGAAAGAAACGTCTCTCTATTCTCGAGTGCCCAGTGTGGAAATGTTGAACCTCTACTGTGTAGTATGCGATGACAAAGATACACCATTCTTGATTTTTAGAGCTTAGGATGGTGTGAAGAGAGTAGCAGCAAAGGAGTGCCTAAGTCCAGTTTCCAGCTCTGCTCCTGATTCCAGCTTCAGGCTAGTGAGCACCCTGGAGGTGATGGGTAATTATTCAGGTATTTGGGTCCCTAGCATTCATGGGAAAGAACTATGTTGAGTTCTTCTCAGTTCCTACCTCGGTCCCTGACCTTGGCCTTAGCTGCTGTAGGCATATGGAGAGTAATCCAGTGGATGGGAGATCTGTATCTCACTTTCACATAAAAAATAAGGCTGATAAAAAAACTATTTTGGCTTAAGCGTTCCAATACTAACATTCAACTCAGAATCACTAGTGATTTAAAATAGACAGCACTAGCTGACATCCAGAGACAGGGTCTTTGGCCAGCGCCTGCTAATTTGGGAACCCACCCACGCAGGCACTTGACATATATTGCACGATTCTCACAGAAATCCTGCACACGGGAATTACATTTTACCACTGAAGAAATAGAGTTTCAGGGAAGCAGAGGAATTTGCTCAAGGTTATATTGTTAGAGGCTTATTGATCCAGGATTTGAAAATGAATCTATCTTAATCCATTTTCCTCCAACCGATCGCCTCCTTGGATTAGTGGAGGTAAAACTGGCCTTCCTTTCGCTAACCCCATACTTCAGTAGACACAGAAATACAGCTTAAGGGGCTGGGACATTCTCTCTCCTAGAGGAACACCAAAGACTACAAGGGAAAATAATGAAAGGTTTGCTGGAAGAGGATGACTGTTTGTATCATTTCAGCCTTCAAATGAATCCTGTGTGTTTCCAGCTGCTAGTTCTGCTCATCTGTCTCTCTAGCACCTAGCACACTCCTCAATCATGAGCCCCTGATAAGAAAATAATTGAGTATTATAATGTACTAGAGCACAAAGACCTATTAGCTTATAGTCATTAACAAATTGTAAAGTAGTAAATATTAGAGTTCTCTACAAAGGAACATAAAATTAATTAGTGGGAAATGTGGCCGAAGAGGCCCTGGCATTTGGAGTTGACTGAAAAGCAAATAAAATCTAGCAGTGATGATAACAGAAATGAAAATCTGAGGACTTGGAAGTAACAACTCTCCCTAGCGTATACGCAACACTAGTTTTTGTAAATCTAGAGTTAACTCAGCTGGATGTAAAAGGATTTGAAAAGCAGAGGTGTCCAGAGAAGGAAACTAGAGACGACACAAACTTGACAGCTTCTTACCACAGGAGAAATATGATACGCAAGGGGAGATTCGGCTATGGAATGGCTTAGAGAATGACTTCAAATACAGAGATCTTTCATTAAGAGCGAGGCAGTGGCCTCCTTACAGCACCCATCCATCCAAAGCAGAAGGAAGGAAGGCAGGTGGGCGCCTGAGCGATGGTCTGCACTGAAGGCAGACAAGCAACAGCAAGGAGGGGCCACTACCACGTCCGGCTCTCCCGCTGCCTGGGACCTCACCTCTCACGCCTGCTGCTCTCCCTGGCCGAATCTGAAGCCTACGTAATCTTCTTTCGTATTTCAAACAACCGCGTTCATCTGCATCCTGCATCCGTGGACGTCTTCACGTGCGGTTGCAAGTTCTGCTGGAGGTTCAGCCTGGGGACTGCTCAGGACACGAGCTGTGCTGCTCCCACCCACGTCGGCCTTGCTCCCTTTCCTGCAGGTGGCATTGCGTCTTGCTCCTCAGGCTGCTGCTCTCCGCACAGTGGGGACAACCTCTCTTCCAGCTCCCGCGGTGGTCTCCATCGTCCTGACACCGTGCTTCTCACGGTCCTCCCAGAACCAGACTCCGCCACGACCCTCGGTTTCTCTCAGATGCCTTCCCTAAATCTGGGATAATTAATGCAAGAGATTGTTTATAGCCCTATTAAAAAAAAAAAGATTTAACACTTCTGATTTCCAGACAGTGCAATAGGAAGAGTAGAGGAACATCAATAAGCCCTTACCACTTGACTGCATGAGTGTGATCTCTCCATCTACCCCGCTGACACTGGGCCAAATTCTTAAATATATCCTCGCTTGTTTATTTACTTATATATAGAAAGATGGGGTGGGAGGGAAGGAGACAGGGAGAGAGAAAGAGGAAGAGAGAGACAGAGAGAATGCTTCCATCTGCTACTTCAGGCCCCAAATCCCTGCAACAGCCACGTCTGGGCCAAGCTGAGGCCCAGGGCTTCGAATTCAAACTAGGTTCCCCACATGGGTGGCAGGGACCCAATTAACTTGAGAAATCACCACTGCCTCCCAGGTGCTCATTAGCAGGAAGCTGGCATCAAAGCAGAGGTGGGACTTGAACCCAGGTTCTCTGATGTGGGGTGCAGGTATCCCAAGCACCGTCCCCCTCACTATGCCAAACACTTGGTCCTTTGAATACACTTACTTGGTAGTCCTAACCTGCATTTTCAAAGCTTTTTTTGTCAGTCGCCCTAGGTTGTCTATTATGTTTTTTACAAAAGCCCATTCTGTCGTATACAACTCCTAAAATGGGGGCTAAGCCCCCCAAAGTAAAATGTTTAAATGTTGAGTCCACATGAGCTTGGGACACAAAACGTATTTTCTTCTTTTCGTGTTTAATGAAGCAGAATACACACTGAACAGGACTCACCAAGAGTGAGTTAAGTGAACAAATGAGAACAGCCTGTGCCCCCAGATCAAGGTATAGGCGCTCCCGACACCCCAGAAACTTCCCTCTCACCTCCTGCCCCTCAGACTCCGATGCCAATCACTGTTATGGCCATTGGTTAGTTCTTAAGCATCATCTAAATGGAATGGCACATTCCATCCACACTTAGAGTATTTCTTCTAACTTCAGATAGAAAGCAGGTCACAGCCACCGTGCCCACCACAGGCTGTGGTTTTCTGTCCCAGCACCTGCCATCCTGCAATCGAGAGTCCCTGGGTGTTTACTGTGCTGGTGGGACCTCATGACAGCTGGAATTTGGGGTCCTGAACATGCAGATCCCACACAGACATTGGGAGTCTCACACGGGGGCCAGATTATCCCATTGTCTACAGGAGGATGGCTTATGGCTCTTAGCCTCTTGTGACAAAATCAAACCACTGGCTCTACGGCTTAAATGTAGGCTCAAAGTCTATGGCTCTCTTTTCTTAGCTGTGTGACTTGGGCAAAGTCTTAACCTATCTGTGTGCTGCTCTAGTTCCAGTCTCCACTATTCTATCCACTCTCCGTCCTGGAAGACTGACCTTTAAGGAAGGTGCATCTTCTGACCTCCAGCTGGGTTGGCCAATGGGAAGTGTTAGCAAGAGAGCAGAGGATGGGGATAGGGGAAGAGCTGACCCCTACAAGGAGGTTGCTTAGTAGGTTGCTTAGCTGGCAAACTTTCTGCCAGGGTCACTCTCAAGGCACAGTCTCTCTAGTTGCTCTCCCATTGGTTAATAACAGCTGCTTCTGATTTAACGCCATGGGACTGCACTATGCTTTACCGTGTCCGACTCCCAATCCGCACCCCTAAAAACCATTTTTAAAAAGCATTTTGAAGACAGAAGGAGAAACAGATGCAGGAGGGGTGGAAAGGAGAGGGGAGTGGTGGAGAGAGGAGGGAAAGAAGGGAAGGAGGGAGGGAGGGAAGGAGGGAGAGAGAAGGTGGGAGGAGGGAGAGAGAAGGGTGGGAGGGAGGAGGGAGAGAGAAGGGTGGGAGGGAGGAGGGAGGGAGAAGGATGGGAGGGAGGGAGGGAGAAGGATGGGAGGGAGGGAGGAAGGAGGGAGGGAGGGAGGAGGAGGACAGCAAACAACAATTATCCCAATCTCAGCATATTATCCGAGTCTAATTTCTTCATACAGAATGAGTTTTTGATTCTTATTTTATGTATGAGCATTAGATAGATTGTACACATACTGCTTAGAATTGCACCGACCAGAAAGTAAGTAACACTCATAGTAACTAAGTAATACTCTCACAGAGTATTAGAGAGGGCAGTGTACAAAGACTGGGGAACCCATCATCTTCACCCACTTTTTTGTTTGTTTGTTTTTCTACCACTGTAAATCAACCAAACCTATCCAGGCTGATTCCAACCTTCTCGGGCAGAGCCACCCCTCACCGCAAGACTGCAAATCATTTCTTTAGATACCGTGGGAGAGGAAGAGGAGGCCCATGTGCAGGATCAGGCTCAGGCGCAGCTGCCTAGGGCCCATGCAGGCCCTGATTCCCGCCCTCAAGCAAGGATTCCTTCCTAAGATCCCCACTGAGCTACTGCAACAGGTCAGGGCAGACTTCCAGTGCTCACTGAATTGTGAGTCTTCAAACAGCTCAACGTCATGGCTAAATACACGCATGGACCCCAGTCCACCACTGAGACTGCATCCTTTTGTGGATTCTCTTGCCATTTGGGAGGCTAGAAGTGCATGATCAAGGTGCGTGCAGGATAGGCTTGTTCAAAGGCCTCTCTCTGGGGCTTCAAAATGATGGTCTCCTCCTTGTGTCCTCCCAGGGTGGGCCTCTCCTCTGTACCTGTCTGTGGCCAAAGATCCCCCAAACAGATTCACCAGTCCTATTGCATTAAGACCCTTCCAAGCGTCCTCATTGTAAGTCAATTGTTTCTTAAAGGACTCTATCCCCAAAGAGCGTCACATGCTAACGTGCTTGAGCTTAGGATTTCAAGATCTGATTTTCGAGAGGACATGGCCCACGCCACTGTGAATCTCTGTCTGCCCAAAGTCATTTCTGGAGTCAGGCGGCAGGGTTGTTTATTTCTGCCAGCTGAGCACACTTGGGGAGAGATGCATTAATTAGCAATGTTTTAATCACTATCAAACAATAAGAGGGGAGAGAGAAAGGCACATGGCGCCCTTCTAGACCAGTGGCTACAGAGTTCCCTGTGTGTGTCCCCGTTGCCTTCCCAATAACCTAGGAAATGGGTGCGAACGCTACAAGACTCTTGGTGCTTTACATCTATGCAAGGAAAGGAACTGCTTAAGCTATTTTCTTCCTGGCACCAAGATGTCCTTCACAGCTGTCTGTGTCTCTGAGGACTGAGACAAGACAGACAACTCTTGAAAGACAGCTTTTCTGTCTTTCAACCAAACCCAGGGAAGCTGTAATTTCATTTTTATCAGGCATCCCACTCCCCCACAATTACAAGGCTGAATAAACACTGAAGCTGGCTACAAATTGCAGAATCACCACCCAGCTGGATTTCTCAGATGGAACAGAGACGCGTTCATCGTCAGCAACTAACTGTTGGTGTGCTCAGAAGCCAGTGACTGGACCAGGGGACCTCTGGGACAGATTTTGCTCTCTCTCTGTGATGTCATGGAAACAAATGGCCAACAGCCTGGAAGAAGACAAAATAAGTCCAAAGGCAACCCTTAGGATGACACAGTGAGAGCAGGCATGACTGTCCCACTCAGAGGTGGGAAAACTGCTTACGCCTGCTGTTGAGATGATGGGGACCGGACTGTGAAGGCTGTCATGACCCGTGCATTCCCGCCCGGCACCTACGCCCTTGGGCAGGTGGCCAGTCTCCATGGGAACAGTTCCCGCAGAACAGGACAGTGCTCTGGAGAGAAAATTCAAGCACACACAACCTCCCCAAGCCTCCCTCCAGTCTGAGATTATCTGAGTCACTGAGACACAGTCTGGCAAACACACTAGAGGGGCCCATCCCGGTGCACATTCCTGTAAGGTTAGAAAATAAGAAGCAGCCCAGAGAAAAAAAAGAAATTAACGCTTCTGCCATTTCTTCTCTGGGGTACTCCAGGGCTTACAGAGCTTGGGCTCCAAGTTTAAAACCATGGTCTATTAAATCTGGCTGAACACTAAGAATAAAGTGATAGAAACAGAACACTGTATTTTATATCCATAATTTCTTTTCATAGAATGCTGTCCTATTATATTAGGGAGAAAGGGCAAAATATTCCCAGAATGAAACTACTTATTATGCCATTCTGCTTTCATAACATTCATGTTCCCATTGCCTTTTATGTAAGTAAGAGCTAAATAAAACGCCAGTTAAAACAGATACACTTTGCTGTAGTGTATAAACAGACAAAAACATTCAACTCAGTGATGCCGGATGAAGCAATAACCTTTGGGGGCAAGGGTCCACGCCTAAGGATTGATGGAGTGATTCTGTGTTTTATCAAATCACTTAAGCCAAAAGGCAGCGTGAGTTAATTGGCAATTTCAAAGCAGTGCGAAGACACTTTCATGGTTTAAAAAGCATCCGTTTCCATTATCATCAATGTGATAAGTGTAAAGCCATTTTACATTGTTTCTACATGCATAGAAAGGGAAATACACTCTATTATGCCAAGGTAGATGGATTTTTTTTTCCTCAGCATCACTTCTCCATGAAAAATTGACAAGTTAGAGTAAGCATTTTTAAAACAGCGGTTCTAATGAATCACGTAGATGAAACAATACTGGTCTACTTTAATCACAGGTGACAAACAACTAAAGAAGACAAAATTGCATTTGTAAACATAAAAAAGCTAAAAAACACACTGAGAAACAGAATCCTTTAACATATGGAAGAAACAAGGCAAGGTGATTGTTTTTATTAAAGTCAACTTTAAGATTTAATACTTACTAGTGATATAGTTTTTAAGATGGGTGTAGTATGAAAAGGCTTACAGGGGAGGGACATTCTCTTTGTTAAATTTGACCTCTAGGTACCCAGTCGCCCTCACTGCAATCCACTAGTGCCACTAATGTTTCCGTGCATAGCAACCTGTTATGTGCATACACAAATATATGTGCATGTGTCTATTTTCCAAGTTAAAGAGAAATACACAGGGTAGGAACTGTGCCGGAGCCCTTGGGACACCCATATCCCATCTCAGAGCATTGGTCTGAGGCTTGGCTGCT